GGAGGGAGGGAGGGAGGGAAACAAGTGGAAATGAGAAGAAAGAAAAAGAGAAAAGAGCAAGGACCTAGCACTGAAGACAGGGAGGTGAAGTGATGGGTGAGGTATCAGGTGGAAGAACTAGATTTTGCAGGGACAGAGGTCTAGGACGAAAGGTGGGAGCCAGGCCAGACACCTTCATCTACTTCTCAGGACTCTCTCTGGGATATAACAGGAACAAGTGAGGATTCTTGAGCTAGCAGGTTAATGGGCAGCTGTGCTATGGCAGCTTCGCCTGATGGGATTCTTGGACTATGGGAAGGAGAGATGGGAAGGAGGAACACCAACTAGGGAACAACACAAGATCAGTCAGAGACCACAGAGCACTGCACATGTGAGGGCAGCATGGCCCAGGATGTGTGGGGCATGAACACCAACAGAACCAGAGGGCTGATGAGACATCAGGACTGAAGACACAGGGGAAGATGAAGAGCAGGAGCCTTTTTGTGGTAGCGGTGAGGGAGGGGTGTCTGTTTAACCTAGACAGGGGCATAAGAGGGGCTGAGTGAGAGTAAGGAACTTGAGAGGTGGCGGGAGCCACTGAGACCAGAAACAGACCCAGGAATCATAGTCATGGCTACATAAAGGGAACAGAAGAGAGTCAAGGCAGGGACTGAAGAAAGTACACACAACATCTGAGGCCAAAACTGACACAGAGATTACAGAGGGGGTACGGCTGCTGTGTCAATCTGGTGCTGGTCAGACGAACAGGCAGGTCTCTGGGGTCTTCTGTTGGAGTATGGTAAAAGTAGCAGTAGTTGGTCTGCTAGACAGCTTGGAGCAAGCAAGTGAAGACAGATGAGGGCAGTGACTGTCCAGAAGGGATGATCCTGCAATCAGCCTAAGACCTCCAGGCTCCCCAGGTAATCCTGTGCCTAGCATAATACCAGACACAGAGCAGTAAGATGTGCTGAAGACATCAACAAATAATGATGTTTCAAGTAGTTAGCATCAGAAAAAAAACATTAAGTAAGAACTGAAGATCTGCTGGGCATGGTGGCACACACATTTAGTCCCAGCACTTGGGAGGCAGAGGCAGACGGATCTGTGTGAGTTCAAGGCCAGCCTGGTCTACATAGTGAGTTCCAGGCCAGCTGGGGCTACAGGGAGACCCTGTTTCAAAAAGACCAAAAACAAAACAAAACAACAACAAAAAAAAACCCACAAAACTGAAGCTCTGAAGCTCTGGGAATCGTAAGCGCCTGTTATTTCACTGTTAACACAGCAAAAGGTTCATCATCCTAAGGCTAAGAGAAGAGGCTCCTGGATAAATCTCCAGCACAGTGTGTGTCCCAAAGGCACCCAGAAAGCATTCCTTGGATAAATGTGTAGAAGGAGACAGAAGAAACATGCAAGGGAGGGTGTATATACAAGGCGAGTTCTAGACGGTCTGGGCAAAATCAACCAAAGCCTTTGTATAGCCTCCTTTTAAAGCCAGCGTCAGGGTCTCTGTTAAGTGAAAGGACTGGATTACTTGCCTTAGGCTCCTGTAACTACACTGGCAGGCCACTGCTCTGTGATTTATTTCCTTTCTTCTCTCCTTTTCGCTTTTTCTTACTTGAAACAGCTTCTTGGTATAATTTTGTTATCTAATTTGTTTTCAAAGTCAGATCTTTATTTTTTATCTGATTACAAATGCAGGTCAAACTTCTTAAAAGTGACAAATCATTCAGACACCTAAGTCAGTATGGAACGAATGAGGTAGTTGATCCCTAAGTAACGGGGGTTCATTCCCACACAATCTCGGGCATTTATGGAAGGCATGTTAAATGATTGTTCCTGTTCCTGTAGTGGAAAAACTTAAAAATGCCTTACAGCCTGCACCTCAAGAGCAATGATCTTAAACTAAACAGAGAAGCATGCAAAGGAAGAAAACAGAACCCAAGACATGCAGTCTTCTGAGATCAAGGTTCGGCATGTTTCCTGAATTTCTAAAGCATAGCCTGGGTCGGTTTCTCCCATCAGGCCTTAAGGAAGAAAGTGATGGTGGTAGTAACTCTCAAGGTAACAAGAAAATGGCTCCAATAAACGGCACAATAAACCTCCAATTCAATGCTAGGTCAGGTCAAAGCAATGCCATAAGGCTGCTTGTAATTAGTTGATCATAACATCACTATTCCACCTACCCATATTTTATTTCCTCTTTCAAGTTGTACTGGGCTTTAATGATAAATTGGGACATATGTTGGAAAAGTTCAGTTTCATAGCAAGATTTAAACAATTAAGCCATTTGAGCTTTGCAAGAGTACATGCCCATGTATTTTACACTTAAAAAAAATTATTAAATGCTCTTAAGGGCTCAATTTTTTATTCATTTTAACAAACTTTTAAAAAAATTTATTTATTTTTATGTGTAAGAGCGTATTGCCTGCATGTAGGTAAGTGCACCAGTGTTATGCAATGCCTGAAGAGGTCAGAAGAGGCTATCGGATCCCTGGGACTGGAGTTATGGACAGTTGTTAGCTGCCATGTGGGTGCTGGGATTCGAACCCAGGTCTTCTGCAAGAACAAACCAGTGTTCTTAGCTGTGAGCCATCTCTCCAGCCCCAATTTTTTTATTTATTTTAATAGAGACTGTTTTGCTTATATGTAGGTAAGTGCAACACATGTGTGCAATGCCCACAGAGGCCAGAAGAGGGCATCAGATCCACTGAAGTAGATTTAAGGACATGGCATCATAGCCAATTGAATGTGGTATCTTTCTTAACCAGTGGCTGATTATAGAATTACCAATCTGTTGATCCTCTGCTAAGACACAAATGATAAGTGGAAGTTTGACCCCCATTCCCAGGGCTGGAGACTGAGTCTAGGGTCTTTTTCTTGCTAAAAAACTACGTTTGCTCTTTGAGAGAAGGTCTTGCTATGTAGCCCAATCTTCTTTCAAAGTTGTTGAGTCCTCCTTCCTGCCTTAGCTCCCAAGTGCTGTGATTACAGGCATGCACCACCACCACACAGCAAATCTGATGTTTCAAGTATTATTACTAGCAGTATAGAGCCCTAATTTGTGGGATAAGGAAGAGCAGTAGGACCAGATTCACAGCTAGGAAAGGCAGCAGAACCTAGAGAAAACTAGATGGCTCACAGACCCTAAGAGAGTTCCCTGAATTTGCTCAGCTCCATCTGCAGACATGATGCTTGCAGACCATCACCCGCCACTCTAATGCTCACAGTCCTGGCTCAGTGCAGCCACCTTCTGAACACCCAGCTCTCCACAAGGCTTTACAATCCTTATGCTACTTTTTTTTCTGCACTAACATATGCAGCGTGAAATATGATTCACTCCTTCATGAGAGATCAATACCCACACATGATAAACACCCTTATTGATCGTGGAGTGTTATATGCTGGTCTCTGGACCCGTGGCATATTAATGGTAGTTAACCAGTAATTCATTTTCAGATGGATGAAAGCTTTGCCCACTCTTCTCTAGTGTCATGATTCCCAGTGTTGTTGCACTTTGAATCCTTTGTGTTAAACTTGAAAGTATACCCTCTTTTGTATATGAAGTAAAAAAAGACCACCAATAAACAAAAATTTCCCACTGCAAACTGTAACACTTGATTCACAATAAGAAATATCTTACAGTTTATATCTGTAATCCCATACCTAGCAGGTATCTAGCCTACTTAGCTTTAAAACTTTATGAGTTACCAGTCAGGCAAAATCCTTCATCAGTAAATAAGTAAATCTGAGGCCTTAAAATTACTACTGGCCACCAATAGACATGAACTCAGCATAAAGAGGTCTCCATTTTTTTTCTTAAGGATATTAGATTTTTTTAACACTGTCATTTGAAAAAGTCATTTCGTGGATCTGGAGTGTGATGACGGGACGAAGAAGGCTTGC